AAATGTACACACCAAAGTGGACTCTTCTCTAAAAATATATAAATGAAAAAGTATCTTCCTTGCTTAAGAACATTATAATGAAAGTAGTTTCCTGAATGGGCCATTGACAGAAAAGATTCAAATCCTTAACTTCTATCTATGCAAACCATTCTTCAGTCAGATGCTTGCTTGACAGTACTCTAGAAACTGCTAACTGTTACTGTCTCACTGGGTTGATAGTAAAGCAAACTCTTGAACAAATTATTTTTATGCCAAGGACTAAATCCAGTGAGTCAATCAAAGTGCAAATGCTAGGCAGTAAGACAAAGGTAAGCCTATGTCTTTGTAAATATATCCTTGCTAAAGATTTTTCCTCTTCACTTTAAGTTGAATAATTGTAAAATGTCAATGCCTTTAAACAAAAAGCTTTAAAAGTTAAATAGTAATTCAAGGAATCCTTCTGGATTTTAAGTTTCATGACTGTTTCATGACATGTGAGACTAATAAAAGCTTTCATTTCTTAACCATTTCTGCCTTAGTTCAGGAAAGATGCAAGCATCAAAGCAACAAAGGTCATACTTCAAAAAGGGAAAGAAACTTTGAATGGTACCAGTACATGGGATTATTTGGCAAGTAATTATTCTTCCAGATATTTTAGCTGGACGACCTGTAGGCTTTGGCAAGTTCTTACATGGGTTCCCTCAGCCCATTCAAGAGCCATGGTGGTGTAGTGATTATAATGCAATACTTTTGCTGACTGCTGATTGCCAGCAGTTCAGCAGTTCAATTCTCACCGGCTCAAGGTTGATTCAGCCTTCCATCCTTCCGAGGTCGGATAAAATGAGGACCCAGATTGTTGGAAGCAATATGCTGACTCTGTATACCGCTTAGAGAGGGCTGAACAGCACTGCAAAGTGGTATATAAATCTAAGTGCTATTCTCAGTAGGTATCTTGAGTCAGACCTGTATCATTAAAAGTTTTATTTTACTAGTACTGGGATCCTTGTGATGGTTTACTCAACAACCAAAATACAAAAATGTTCTGAATACAAAAGTGAAGGTTATGAAGAGGTGAATTAGAGGTGAAACCTAAATAAGAGAGGAATGGAGAAGGACCTCAATCTTTGAGGCACAGGTTGCTAATCTTCTTTACTATTAGTTACTATTTTTCTAGTAGTTTGGATACAGCCTGGTGGTGGGTACACTTATTTTATTTATTTAATTTTTTTTTTTTTTTTGCATAGCTGCCCATTCATGACTCTGGGCAGCTTACAAAAAAACCCAATATACAAACAATAAAAAACATTAAGTCCCCCCAATGTCCTGGTAACACCAATCAATCAGACCAGCCACTTGATGGGCTCTATCCCACTCTGGGTTTCCCCAGCCCATAGACAAAACCAGGATCTTTAGGGCCTTGTGAAAGAGTATTGAAGGCCATTCTAATCCCTGAAGGAATGATGTTCCAAAGGGAGGAAGCCACCATGGAGTTGGCTCTTCTTTTGGGTCCTGCCAGATGTATCTCCTTAGGATAGGAGACATGCAACATATCCTGCCTGCTCACTCTGGTGGGCCATCAGATGTGACCAAGAAAAGTCAGTCCTTCAGCTAACCAACTAAATATTTGATCTGTTTGGAATCTTCCAAGATTTTCAATTTCTGAGTTAACAAAGGAATGAAGGAAGACTTGATTCTGCTTCCGGTTAAAAACTACTACAAGCAATCCATATAATCAATACATTTAACTATTGGTTTATTTATATGTTATCCTGCAACAATTCAAATAATCAATAGATGTCAGCAAAGAAATATTACCACTCTAATTTTTTCCTTCAATCTAGTGGTCATTGAATGCTTACAGTCTGAAGTAGCAATCCTTCTCTTGTTGAAGTATCTATTCGTTAGATTCTGCCAACATCTAAGGTAATTTAATGGCTATCTAATGGTACCTTTAATGCACTGGTGGGATTCAATTTTTTTTTACTACCAGTTCTGTGGGTGTGGCTTGGTGGGAGTGGCAGGGGAAGGATACTGTAAAATCTCCAGTCAGAGGTGGGATTTGCCGGTTCTCCGAACTACTCAAAATTTCCACTACTGGTTCTCCAGAACTGGTCAGAACCTACTGAATACCACCTCTGCTTTAATGGTTGTCCAACAAGCACTAGCTAAAGAAGTGCAGGTCTTCCACAATGTATACTTGTGAAAGAGAATAGTGTTGTTGTTGGGCAGACATGATCAGCCAGACTCATCTTTACTATATATATAGATTTAACAGGCAGGGATTAAAAGCATTGTCACAAACACCTGGATGGAGGGAAATGAAGAGGAAAAAAGAAACACAGCAAATAAGATATAATTTAGCTCTTACCAGTGGAGACCAAAGTTTGGTTTGATCCATTCTCTATCTTTTATTTATCCAACAGGAATGTTAATTTTATATATTTTTTTCTTATGTATAAATAATTACTTTTACTTTAAAAAACTTAAAATTCAATGCTCAGGTCTAAAATTATCACAAACACAAAAGAAAATAAGGGGATAATTTGCAGAACTTATGTCAAATTAGTTATCTGCAACATCACACACTTTACACAGAAGGAATGTAAAATCCTTCTACAAAGTAATATATAGCCTCAGGAATCTTATACAAAATAAAGAATATAAATTATATAAAGGAGAGGAACATGTCCTTAGATGTTACTGATATATACCTGTACATCCATCTTAAATTACCAGCCTATAAATCTAACAAAAACAGAAAAAATGCATTTAATTCAATTACCAATTTCAGAGGTAAAAGAAAGTTGCTTTTCAGATATCCTTCTTTTGCTCAAACAGAGCATTTAACCAGTACAATAAATCAAACAGTTGAATTTGATCATTCTCAGAGTTTTTTGTTCAATCTTTCTCCTAGAAGGCAAGTGTCTTCTATTTGTTTTTGTTTTTTCTTTCTTTCTCTCTTGGTCCTTTCTGGCTCAAAAAGAAATGTTAGGACTTTCAAGTTATCAGATATGCTGGCAAAGTTTGTTATTATAGCTGTAGGTTTCAACTTGAATATTGCAATACAAACATAGAATTACTGAGTAGGATTGCAGGGAAATGAGGATCCTGGCAATTATAAAATGCATATGTGATATAGAGCATTGCAAGTAGAACAGTCATAACAAAGCTACTGAGACTGAAATGGAAAATTGAGCTCCTGTAGTTAAGAAATTATCTTGTAAAAATTCCAGAATTAAGTCCAGAATTAAATAAAATATGAATGCTAGCTAAATGATAATAAGTGGTCATTCTTTAAAGCCATGTATGTTTCCAAAACATTCAGTTTCAGTTCATAGTTTTATGTCATGGGTATCAAACTCACTTCGTCGTGTTGCTGTCACGTGACGCTTCACGATGTTTTTCCCATTTGTGGAGCTGGGATGGGTGTGGCCTGTGCGTGATACATTCAACCTGCAGGCCACCCGTTTGACCCCCCCTTTTCTATGTAAAGTAGTATCACCAAAACCAAACAAAAAGAAAAGCCTATACTAAATTTGGTTAGAATCAGATCTTATTTATATTATTTTAATCAATTAAAAGGGAAGAGACCATAGTTCATCATTTGGCAAAATATTAATGGCCACAACTAAAACAAACATCCTATTGATTTTAAAGGAGAGATAAGTTAAGTGCATGGTTAAATCTCTCCAATGAAATCAATACAATTTTAAAGAACCTACTTTCATCTGGATCATGTCCTCAATGCTTAAAAATTATAATTCTTCTTAAGTCAAAGATTATGATGTTTTTTGACTCACCTATTTAAGTCTGAGCTTTCAATTCTACCTGGTTATTCTGCTTAAGGGGAAAACATCCAAATTACATTTTTATAGCTATAGCTTTTTTACTCCAGTATTTTATTACAGGACAGTTTGCAATACTTTATTATTTGGCAGTTTAAAAAACACATTGCTTTTTAAATGGCAAAAAATCCTTCTTTCCCTTAGAAAAAAGAAAAAAAAAATATTTGAAAGTGACTTTAAAAGTCAATTTCAGCAGGTGAAAACTCGGCTCGCCAAGGAATATAATTAACTCCAGCTTCTGGTTTAAGGAAGGTCAAAAGGTAGATCATCTTGCTAATCAGAGAAATGTTAATTCTTTTAGGAAAAAGAAAAAAATAAGAAAAGAGTAGCATGCTACTGGAAAGTGTAATTAAATACCTTCCTAAGGAAAACATTGAAAAATTGTACTTTATTACAAACGGACTTAGATTTAGAAATCCAACTGTACATATAAATTCAGAGAATAAATGTTACTCTCTAATGTCACACAGCACATTAAGGCCTTGCTTTCATCGTTCTTTAGCTACAGTACCTGGGAGGGGAGAAATGTGGGATGCTAATAACAAAAGGATTGCCTTCCCCATTGGAATGCAAGAGGGTGCAACTCTGCTGCACTTGCTATTTCGGTATCATGTCAGATCCTGACACTGCACCCATGCTGGGATGAAGCAGAATCCTCTCTGAGCACAGATGTGACATAAAGCCCACTTGCGGAGGAAAAGATTGAAATTTCGATGTGTGTTGTTATCCATGTGTAGCCACTAATACACAGTTTAGCTGGTTATTCACCTTTGCAGGTCCATTGAATCTCTTCTTTTAAACCTGGCCTGTTTCCAGGGCACTTTAATTTATAGTGTAAAAGTTACATAATTCTGTGTCTGAAGACAAAGAAAGAGGCCCAGGACAAACAAGGACAAGTATGTCAGGGCCGCGTTGATTGGTGAAAGAAGTAACATCCCATCCTGGATTGCTGAGTCATTAAAAAATAAAGTGTAACCATGGTCTGAATTGCCAAATATATCCCAAGTATCTACATGTCTTCACGGGCAGAAACTATAGCAAGTCATGATTTGTTTCCCTTAAGTAAACCTTCAAATGCAGGTGCAAAGCTTTCTTTTTAATGAAGAAAACAGCATTCACTGTTGCTTCTCAGAAACTGTCTTCATGTTCTCAGAAAGCACAATTAATTCTGGTGTCTCACTGCTCATTAGCCCCCTGAATTGGTTCCATTGATTGCTTTTCCAACTTTCTGCACTTCCTTTGAAATCGATCGTTTTCTTTCTTCTTAAGTTTCTCCCTTTGCTTTTCCATCTTCTCTTGAGCTTTGGAGGCTTTCTCTAGATTTGCTTTCATTTCTTTAATTTTCTTTTTAATCACAGCTCTCTCCTGGGAAGATGTCATGCCAAGAAACTAATTTTTTTTTTTTTAGGAAAAAGATAAACATTTTAATGTATGGCAAAATTACAGGTCCTTTAAAATATAACTGGGATGTGTATAGATCACCGTAAGCAGCGGCATGGTCTTTAATAGAACAGTAAATAATAACATTCTATCAAAACAACCCATCCAGTGAAGAAGAGCAAAATTACTATTACTAATACTATAACAGTGAAAATATGCTTACACCTGGGCATTAAGAACAAACACAATTCAATTTTGATTCACATTTGAGTTTCTCCAGATCAAAGAATTATTATGAGAACCAGACTGATCTAGTAGTTAAGGAGCTGGGCTACAAAACAGGAGATGGTGAGTTGTAGTCCTGCCTTAGGCATGAAAGCCATCTGGGTTACTGTGGGCCAGTAACTCTCAGTCCAACCCATTGCACAAGGTGGTTGTTGTGGGGAAAAGAGAGAGAAGAAGTAGTATTAGGAGTGCTGATTTATTTTTAAAGCAATAAAGGTGAGATATACATAAGTATGCTGTGAGGGTTGGCTCTTTAAAATTTAATTTTAACCAGTTTCCTTTTCCATGTGTCCAATATAAAGGAACATCTCAATCATTATTCCTCAACTATATTAATGCTACCTAGCTTGGCTGGCATCACCTAATGTACAAATGCTACTAAATGCTACTAAAGCTGATTTCAACTACTTGATTTCCCATGGAACTTGGTTCTTGGCTGTCTGGTATGGTGAGACAGAGTGCCAGATGTCAAAATACTGGCAGCAACTATCAATGATCACATCTAGTTACAAAAGAATTAGGAGCCTTAATATGAGTAACAGATATTATGGTATGCTAGAGTGTTTTTGCAGATCAATAAAAGTGCAATAGGCAATGCTTGATCTAATAAGATGTAACTTGCTAAGCTAAAATCTGGTCATAATGTTAAACAGTGATTTATGGGACAGTACAAGGCCATGTTCTAATAAGGCAAAAATATGTGTAATATTTTGTAATATCTGTAATAGATAAAGGTACATCTATATTTTCATGCATATTTGTCTGGTACATATATTTCAAAGGAAAAAAATTGTTCTGTATTAATAAATTACTTTGGTAAGGCTTTTGCTGTAAGAGATGGTGTAAAAGCATTTTAAATATACAACTGTGTTTTCTAAAATCAAAACCACCCAAGGAAAAAATATATACCCGTGATGGCATGCATGCTGAAAGTAGCATGCAGAGCCATCTCTCCGGGCATGCTAGCTGTCACCTGTTGTTCTTCTGGATTCTGCCAGTTGGTCTTTATGCACGCAGGAGTGCCGGAAACCAGAAGAGCAGCTCCCTGGCGTGCATGTGCATGCCAGAAACCAGAAGGTCATCTTCCCTGCACATCATAGTCCTTGATATATGACTGTAACTGAGTCTGGAATTATGGTAATAAGTAATGTCACTTGTTATACAGGTTAGCATGTGACCAACCCAATTTTATGACAGTTTTACAGAAGTTGTTAAGTGAATTGCTATGGTCATCAAGTGAACCTGTTGCCTGCAATGGGCATTTTATGTCAGAAATCAAAAAGGCACCTTTGAACAGTCTTTAAGCAATCGGTTGTAAATCTAGGACCACCTGTAAACTTATAGGACTAACATTCATTTAACACTACCAAGAGATGCACTCAAGTATGCAACTAAATCTCCTGAAATCAGGAGTTTCAAGCAGTTCAAATAAGTATAAAGATGTATTGCAAGCTTAAGATCTCTACAAGAATCTGAGCTACTAACAGTCAAGGGAAATTCACAGGATTTAAGGATAGAAAGGAGTTCAAAGTGGGCTGGATTTAGAACTCTTGTTAGTGTAGCAGGGAGTCATGACTTATGATGCATTTGACCCCTCCCTTGGACACAGACTAGTCATCTCTTATAGCAATATGGGTCAGGATTAAATTCATGATCATGCCACGTGTAGTATCTCTGGCCATTAATTTTCAAAATAAAAAAATATTTTGAAAAATAACAAATTAAACTATGAATATTAAATTGTTTATTAATTTTAATATATAGTATTGTGCATCTAAGTATGTTTTTAGAGGTAATGATAATTTCATAATTTTAATGGTTAACACTTTCGTTGTATCACTTACATTTTCAGTGATTGGATTGCTATAACTTATTGCTATATCTTATCATCTCTATTTATCAAGATTTTAATTGCATTTCCCATTACACAATTTACATAATAAAATTCTAAATTATTTTTCCAACACCAAGAAGCAATTACCTTAAGTTTACTGCCATCCAGCTGAAGGAGACATTCTCCATTTATATTATGGGCTGTGAATTCAGAAATATAATGTTCTAAATTCAGGCTTTTTAACCAATTGGAGACCTGCTGCACACTCCATTCTGAAACAGCATGATTTGGAAACTGGCTGTGCTTGGGAGATTGTCCATCATCAAGAATCTATAACAAAAATGTTTCACAATATGAAGTTAGAAGAGCTGAACCATCAGATCATGGTGATTGTAGCATATCTTCAATATAATTTCAATAACATTCGCAACTAATTGTGAAATCATATCAAAATTGAAAAAATATATCATAAAAATATGCCTATAGCAAAACAACCAGTTAGGTGCTGGGTCCAACCTAACATTCAATTGCTTAATATTATTTGGAGGAAGCAAAAGTTTGCAAAAATCCTTTTAATATATGAACTAAAGTCTATTCCTCATATTATTTTCACCTATCAGAACTATCACATGATAGGAATAGAAAAATAACTTTGGCGGCATCATATAAAGAACACTTGCACAAAATGTTTATCGATGGCATATTCCATCATCAAAATTGGCAAAAATATACCCGAAACTATCCCCTAAATGTTGGAAATGCAATAAAGAAATTGGAACATACTACCACATATGGTGGAAATGTGAAAAAGCTCAAACATACTGGCTGAAAATTAGAAATTGGTTAGAAGAGATGTGTAAAATTAAAATAGAATTCAGACCTGAAATTATTCTATTGGGTATCAATGTGGGAAAATATAATAAAGAGATAATATATTTAATAGTCCATGTCACCACTGTAGCGAGACTAGTGCTTGCCCAAAGATGGAAATGTAATAATATTCCAGATGAGATGGAAATAATTAGAAAAATTTGGACTTGTGCCGAAATGGATAGAGTAACTCAAGAGTTAAAAGATAGGACTAAATCTGATTACAAAATCTGGGAGAAGTTTTACCACTGGTTTAAAAAAAGAAAGGAGTAAATGTATTAATGACGATTAACATTTATGTATATTTGTAAATTTGTATTCTTTGTTATATGTATTATTTGAGGATGTAAGACAAGTAGGTGTGTCGGGATATATGCACCACGTTCATTGTTTTTAAATATTTTTTTCTTTTTGTTGTTTCATTAATAAAATATTTTTAAAAAGTTTAAAAAAAAATTAAAAAAGAACTACCACATGCTGATTTTGTAGAGTGCACCTGGAATGACAAAGATTCTATCTGCCAAAATTTCATGTGATAGTTACCATGTTGAAAACCACATCTATACCTAATACCACATTTTATTTATTACCTTTTACAGTACGATATATTTGAATGAACTCAATACACCATGCAATAAAACGTTCACAAATAAATAGCTTACTATTGTCTCACCTCATCATCAATCATATCCAGGCTCTGAGAGATTAAGCATTAAAAACAATGGGAAAAAAACATTAAACAAAGAAACAGATTCAGGAAATTTAAAAGTGCCTACATAGAAAGCTTCCAGATTTAGGCTGTAGATGTTCAGATGCATTGGATGTCAACAGAGAGATACTGAAACCATTTAACATTTTGCTGCCATTTAGTGGTCTCTTAGATTTCTGCCCTCTAAATCTGAAAGTTCAAGAGCTAATGTTGCAACAGATTTCATAACTGAAGGTACCATTAGCAATCTATTTTAAAACAGAATTTTATAGAAATATACAACCAATAAAATCTTCTTTCTCATTTTTATACATATAAAATGCGATATACCAGTATCATTTTATATTTATATTGCAATTTAGTAATATAAATGGCTCTTCTTTAAACAGTGTTAAAGATTCAGTATGAATTTGTTGTAATTTCTCAGGAAAGAGATATTAAACTAAAAAAAAAACACGTGTGTGTGTCTGTGTGTCTGTGTGTGTGTGTAATATGCATTTTAAATTTTATATTATGTCCCTTTTGAATTTATGTACTAGGTTACAATTTTAAAGATTCTACATTGTTATCTATGCATTTTCCTTGTTCCTTGATTTAAAACTCATTAGGTAATAACTGTTTTCTTTCCTGCACATGTTTTAGATTTCATTTCATGATCAGTAGCTTAACATATCTATTAAGCTAATGATTATAAACAGCTGATCTAAACATATATACATACATACATACATACATACATACATACATGTGTTTCCCCAAAAATAAGACCATGTCTTATAATTTTTTTGCCACCAAAAAAGGCACCAGGTCTTTATTTTTGGGGATGTCATCCTCACTTGCACGCGTTGCCCTTGGCCTCCTTTTCGCTCTCGGAGGCCTTCAGGAACTTCTTCTTTTGCGGCCGGCAAGGCTTTCCTGAAGGCCTCTGCAGCCGATAACAGAGCTCCGGATTGATCCAGAGTTTTCTTATCAGCTACAGAGGCCTTCAGGAAAATCTTGACAGGCTTGCTGGATGCAGAAGAAATGGGCCGGCAAGGCAGGTGTTGGGACATGCGAGACCTGGCTACAGATGTACAGCTACAGTAGGGCAGCTGTACCATCCTCATCCCCACCCTAGCTTAATTTTTACCCATCTACTCTGGAGTGAACAGGATCTTAATTTGGGTTTATTTTGAGCATAGGGCTTATATTGGGCACATGTGTAAAAATCAAGTAGGATTTACTTTCAGGGTAGATCATATTTTGGGGGAAACAGGTTACACACACACTCACACACACACACACACACAGAGAGAGAGAGTTCCTCATTTCCTGCTCTTTAAGTACATGTGAAAAAGATACCTCATCAGAAGATACAGCTGTGGATTGTGAAAATCCTGGGGTTTTTAGTCCTGTCCCTAAGCCACTCAAATCAGCTGAACTTGTGCTGCTTGGGCTGAAGTCATCATTGAAAGTGATATTCTGTATGGGAATAAGAACAAAACAAGGACAATCAAATCCAACAATAAAGATTGGCCTGCAAGATTAAATTTGAACCTGCTAAGGTTTCATTCATTGTGACGATTTGTTCATCTAGATTGGAAATATGAATAGTGACCTTAGTTTAAATATTTTTAAAAATATAATATAATGTATACACCTGTGTTAACAATGAAGATTTATTTTATTTATTTTATTTGGTTTGTCAATTGCTTACAAGATAATAGGTATAAGTAAAAACATAGTTATGAATACATGGATACATACGAGAAATATAAAAGAAACAATAGGACAGGGACGGTAGGCATGTTGGTGCGCTTATGCACGCCCCCTACAGACCTCTTAGAGGTTAAAGTTTTTGGGGTTTGGGGAAGAAACCACAGAGTCAGGTAGAGTATTCCAGACATTGACCACTCTGTTGCTGAAGTCGTATTTCCTGCAATCAAGTTTGGTGCGATTAACCTTGAGTTTGTATCTATTGTGTGCTCTTGTGTTGTTATGGTTGAAGCTGAAGTATTCATTGACAGGTAGGACATTGTGATGTATGATTTTATATACTATACTTAGATCGGACCAAAGGCGGCGTAGTTCTAGGTTTTCTATGTCTAGAATTTCAAGTCTGGTGGCATAAGGTATTCTACAATGAGTAGAGGAGTGGAGAACTCTTCTTGTGAAATATTTCTGGACTTTCTCAACTGTGTTAATATCTTTTTTCTTTTTTCTTTTCTTTTTCTTGTGTGTTCCTCCACGTTTATTGAAGTAGATATGCTGAATTGAAAGACCCCCAATAAATTTCAATATGGATTTATGCATCTTTAAAATTATATACAAAGACCGGAAACTCTTTTTGTAGAACTTTTGCTGAAAATGGATAAAATGAACTGCTGATTTCCGGATTTATTGATTAAATAAACTTGTTTATAGGCAGAAGGGAAGTATAATGTGTAATATGGGAAGATAAAATGGTAATTATGTTTGCAACAGTTGCAAAGATTGGAAATTACAGTAAATATCTTTTTTGATTGCTTTTTTATTAATTGCTTTTTCTTTTATAATTTTTTTTATTTCTCATTCTGTAGATGTTTAAATTTTTAGTAGATCTTCTTTTAATAATAATTAATTTTTTAAAAAATCTGGAAACCTGGTGGAAAAGGTTTAATATTCCTATCAATTTAATAACAGCAGTGGCCTTTTGGTCTTTCCCTACTTTAATATTTGTTATCAAGACAATTTGTCCAAAGTGATACTGCAAATTAATTAGCTATGGGTTACATTATCATGTTGTGACCTATAAAAACTTCAAAGTCTTTTCAGCAGATTTCTGCACCTGGTTGTTGAAAGCAAGAAAGATGATCTGTATTAGAGTTTTAATTGCCAATATGGTTAGAAAAGTTCCCTGCTTGTGGGACAGTAAATGGGCAAAATAAAGACAACTAATCAAAAAACAATGTTTCAAAGAACATTGGAAAATGACCAAGTTCATTCGATGGAAATTGACATATTCTCCATTTTGCGTTCTCAAAAACTCTGCACAGCACTTCAGTTATTCCTACTTTTACAATATTTAGGGGCCTATATCCATGTTCTCAAACCCTTCTCCAGTTTGACCCTCCAATCTCTGTGAAGTTTCTCTTCCACTTCTCTTCCCCAACAATTCAGTGGTAAGTAAATCAAATGAATGAATGAATAAAAAAAAAATGAATCAAGCAAACGTAAACTCATTTACACTATAAACTCACTCGCCAAAACCAACACCAACCACAAAAACCTCCGTTGCCGCCCTGACTTAACCATACAGCAACGTGCCCGCTCCCGTGCACTCCGCATCGAACTCAAAACCCGTCTAGACAATGGAGAGAAGGACCTGTACATTGACTACCATGCTGACTGTATCAAAAGTAAGACACGTAACCCAATACCCAACTTTTACCCTCAACCACCACCCTACCTCAACCACCTACCACCACCCACCATCACCCAAAACTACCCACCACCCACCATCACCCAAGACTAGGCACGCACGCCCCCAACTACCTCAATCCCAACTGCTGCCGGACTTAAATGCAAACTACTCAATGCAAGAAGCCTCGTGAATAAAATACCTGAATTTCTCATCCTCTTAAATATGGCTAACTTCGACATTATATTTGTCTGTGAAACATGGCTCAATGCATCTCTCCCCGACTCCATTACCACAGTAAGAGACTATCATGTTTACCGATCAGATCGTGAAAATCGTCGAGGAGGTGGTGTTGCTATATTCTATAAAAAATCCTTACATCTAAAAAATATCCAAGTTACCCAGGAGCTTGCCCTTCCTGAAACCATCATCTGTGAACTATCCTTAAATATCACAATTCGATTCTTACTATGTTACAGAGCACCTGATTATGACATCGAACATGTAAACAAGCTAAATACACTACTAACATGGGCTACATCCTGCCCATACCCTTTTATCTTTCTTGGAGATTTCAATCTACCTCATATCGACTGGACCCTAAATAATTGTACAACTGAAATCATACACACAACCTTCTACAATGCTATTACAAATCTAGGTCTTGAACAACTAGTAACCAACAACACTAGACTGAACAACTGCCTCGATCTCATCTTCTGCAATAGTTTGAATTTAATTTACGGAATACAAACCAAAGAACCCTTTTCCAGTAGTGACCACAATATGATTGACTTTTGCCTCAACATACGTCCATACAAAAATCACCACAATGATGTCATCCCTAATTGTAACTTCAAAAAAGGCAACTATGATCTTATAGATAATGATCTCTCATCCCTCGATTGGCAATCTCTATTCACTGGATGCAATACTGTTGAAGACCATTACAACATATTTTTACTTGAAGTCAAAAGAGTCATCAAACTATATGTTCCAACAACAACTCCAAAAACAAAACAAAAAAGCAGATTACCCATATCAATAAGGAAACTTCAATCCAAAAAGAGATCACTCTGGCGGAAAAACAAATCTGGTCACGTTGCTAATTTCAAAAACCGATACAAAAATTTATGCCACCAGATAAAGACCGAATGCACCAATTACCACATTAAACAAGAGGAAAACCTTCTAAGCACCAATTCCACCCGTGCTTTTTACAATTTTGTAAACAACAAACTAAAAGACTCAAGGTCCATCCCTCCCTTGATAGGACCCGATGGTAAAGACTGCAGCGACGACACCATTAAAGCCAACATCTTTAACACATTCTTCGGCTCAGTGTTTGTAAACAGTAATGGATCATGCCCAATGTTTCCTAGCCGTACCACAGATAACAACAATGATCTAATACATATCGATTTTACAGTAGACAACGTTGAAAAAGCACTACGCAACCTAAAACCATCTCTATCTATTGGACCGGATGGAATATGTGCCTACTTCTTAAGAAAGCTATCCACTGCCATAGCCAAACCTCTAAGCATAATCTTTGAAAAATCTTTCAGGACCAGCTCCTTGCCCAACCTATGGTTACAAGCCACAGTCATCCCTATCTTCAAAAAAGGAGACCCAAGCCTAGTTGAAAATTACAGACCAATCTCCTTATGCTGCGTCACCTGTAAAGTCATGGAATCAATTATTAATCAATCCATCATCCTCCATTTAGAGACAAACAACCTACTCTCCAATAAACAATTTGGTTTCAGAAAAAAACTATCCTATAATCTGCAACTCTTACACTGCAAAAACATATGGACTACACAACTCGACCAGGGCAAAGCAATAGACGCAATCTACATAGACTTCTGCAAAGCCTTTGATTCAGTGGTACATGACAAACTACTCCTAAAAATAAAATCTTATGGTATCTCTGGACAACTGAATAACTGGATAGAAGCATTCCTGTCAAACAGACAACAAATGGTCAAAATTGGGAACGCCCTATCAAATCCAGTACCTGTCAATAGTGGTGTTCCCCAAGGCAGTGTTCTAGGACCAACTCTCTTCATAATCTACATAAACGACCTTTGCGATCATATCAAGAGCAATTGCGTTCTCTTCGCTGATGATGTAAAGCTGTTCAATACCACAGACAATGCTACTACCCTACAAAAAGATCTAGACTATGTATCTGAATGGTCTAACATATGGCAACTTCAAATCTCAACAAATAAATGCTCTGTCTTACATATTGGTAAAAAAAATCAGAAAATAAAATACAAGCTAAATAGTCAAGATCTTGTTGATGACCCAAGCTCTGTAAAGGACCTGGGAATACTCACCTCTAATGATCTAAGTGCTAGAGCCCACTGCAACTACATAGCCAAAAAGGCATTAAGAGTTGTTAACCTAATCCTACGTTGCTTTTTCTCTGGTAATATCTCACTACTAACCAGAGCATACAAAACATTTGCTAGACCAATACTCGAATACAGTTCATCAGTCTGGAATCCTTATCACGTATGTGATATCAACACAATTGAGAAAGTCCAGAAGTATTTCACAAGAAGAGTTCTCCACTCTTCTACCCGTTGTAGAATACCTTATGCCACCAGACTCGAAATTCTAAAACTAGAAAACCTCGAATTACGCCGTCTTCGGTCCGACTTAAGCATGGTATATAAAATCATACATTGCAATGTCCTACCTGTCAATGAATACTTCAGCTTTAACCATAACAACACAAGAGCACACAACAGATACAAACTCAAAGTAAACCGCACCAAACTTGATTGCAGGAAATACGACTTCAGCAATAGAGTGGTCAATGTCTGGAATACTCTACCCGACTCTGTAGTCTCTTCCCCAAACCCCAAAAACTTTAACCTTAGACTGTCTACTATTGACCTCACCCCTTTCCTAAGAGGTCTGTAGGGGGCGTGCATAAGCGCACCAACGTGCCTACCATCCCTGTCCTATTGTTTCTCTTATTCTTTTATTTTTCTTATATGTACCCATTTCATATATTCACAACTATGTATACACTTGTACTTATTATCTTGTAAACAATTGACAAATC